CTTTTTTTTTTTTTTTTTTTTTCAAAAACTCATTTTCAATCCCACATTTCACCGGACCCACAATTTTATCAATTTTTCAACACATTTCATTAACTTTTATCAGAATTTACTAAAAATCTGATTTTTAACTAAACCAAACATGGCATTTTACGAAGAACAAGCCAACAAGATAAAAATTGTGTATTTATTCTCATCAATGGAGCTAATGAACTTCAATCAAAACAAAATAGTCCAACCTGATGAAATCAAGTCAACTCATCTGATAATGTCATGGACGCAAAATATATGAAGAAAACAATTTGTATCCGTACAATAAACTATAGATGGAACGTAAAAGATACTTGAACCATGTGGTACTTCTCTTGTTCCTCTTTCTTGCTCTCTACATCAAACTACTCTGCTGAGTCCTCAGTGTTTGATTTTAAGAATTAATTTTAAATCTAGAAAACATACTTTTACTTTCAATCAAAATATTCATTCTATGTATTCTAACTCCAAAAATTTTACATGCTAGTACATTGAAAGGCAAACCCCTCGGGTTCAGCTCATTGTCAACGTGGACCTATATTTCTACACTGATTACAACAGATAGAATGTAATGAGAAAGGGGAATAAGCACAGAACAAATATACTGGGAATATTGACTGTTGAAGCAGCTCCTGTCAACTGCACAGATCCTGAGAAGCTCCCAGCACTACCAGGGGTTGCAGGAGTTGTGTTAGATGCATTAATAGTTTTACAACTTCCAAAAGGTGCTCCTGCCTGCAATAAGTCCATCAAATTTAGCTCTCTCAGTGTTCCCATTACGAAGGGGGGAATACGTTGTTGGTTGGTTATTATAAAGAGCACAAACATTTGGAGTTATTGGATCTTGACTACAATCAAGGGGAAGCTAGTTTGCACAAGAGATTAGAACTCCCGTAAAGATGATGGTTAATACATTATGAGATCATCTTTTCATTACAATGTGTCATCCTTTGAAATTAAAGCCATCAATTTAGACGTTTTATAATGTTCCTTCCGGTTAGTGGATAAAAAATTGATGAAACATTTTAAACTACAAAACTAAAAATGAGTGCCATTGGCCAAATGAAAATGATTTTTTTCCATAATTCAATATATATTTNGGATCTCTGAGGCATATTGTTTCACCTTTTGTATTTTCAACACCTAACACCACTGTCCCACCGGGCGTGCCAAATTGTTTCGCACGGGTTAAGTCGCTAACAATTAAAAAGGACCAGACGATTGTGTAAGGGATGAAATCTCTCGAGACAAAGTCCCAAAAAGGGGTGTTCTTTTATTGGCGATGAACTTTACAATTGGAAATGAAAAACAGCGTGCCTCCAAGGGGCGCAAGCACACGAGTTACAGAAAGAAAAGTGTTTAAGTCTAAAAGTTAAAGAAATGAAAATTACATATTCTCTGTTCGAGAGTTTTGGATTCGGTCCTTTGCTTCTACGTTCTTTCTCCCTTTTATACCTCATAGACGATCTCTTTGTGATTAACTGCTCTGAAAACTGTTTGATCGTCCTATAACTACCCACTTTCTTTGTAGTGGCCATTTTGTCATGAAACTGCCTCTTAGCCGCTGCCATTATCTTTCATCGTTCAACCGCTTTCGATTGAATTCCTTGAGTTGTGGAACGTGATAGGGCTACTTTAACAACTGCCTTGATAACTGCATTTCTTGATAACCACAATGCGTTATGTTTGTTGATACCTTGGGCGACTTGAAGGTTTGGGCGGGAATAGAATAACAGCTCTGGGCGACCGTATGACACTCCATTCGTTCAGATTCTGGGCGACTTGCAAACTTGGGCGATGGCGTTGCCGCACTCTTGGGCCCTTTATTTGGGCCTTCACCTTGATTCGTTCGATTGGACTTCGTTCTTTGGGCTATTTGATTTGGGGATCCTCCAATTGGGTTTTACTCCTTGGGCTATTCAATTTGGGCTGAGTTTTTATGTGTCAACAAAATATATTGTTATTGAGCAATCCAAATATTTGTGTTAAGAGTGGAAGTTACGGTCCCGTGGTTTATTACTTAATTCTTATTGAAAGGATTTTCAAGCAAAAATTTGCATCTTCCTCGTACAATTTATTTTCAAATTGTTTCTTTTGAAAGACTATATATCTGTTATTTTTTGTTTTATAGGAATCCTGTTCATCATAGAAAGAAAATATTACTACGCTACGTATCATAAGCAGACGAATTTTTCTAACACGTTTCTTCCGTTACCCTCTATTGTTTTTATCTGCACATTTACTTTTCAAAAGCTGTCATATTTACTTCCCTGTTCTTCAAGTATCAGAAATACACCAAAAATTTTCAGAACGATTTATTTATGTCTAGTTTCTGCTGTCATATGTACTGCCCTCTTCTTCAAGTAACAGAAATACACCAAAAAATTTCAGGACGATTCATTTCTGTCTAGTTTCTACCGATCTTGATTTTAATTGCGTAAGAAAAAATCATGAGCACTCGTGGAGATGAAGAACCGCATATTGATCAGCTTCCGATTGAACTATTGATCCACATATTTGATCTGTTAACTTCCTTCAAAGATTTGGCTCAGTAAGTCAATTCTTACATATCTTAAAACTTAAAAGGTTGATCCTGTGAAGAGTGGTAGCACGAGGCCTTATATGCTGGTTGTTTATTTTATAATCTTTCGATCGATAATCGATTGAATTATATTCTTAGAATTTGAGCTAATTTTCATTTTGGTGTATGCAGGGCGAGCAGCGTGTGTGGGAAATGGAGACAAGGCGTGAAGGAATCAATAGGTAGGCGTGAAAATTTGAGTTTTGCTGGATGGAAAATAAACGACGATTCAGTCACTCGCATGGTTCTGATAGCTGATGGGCTCAAGGAGCTTGACATGTAAATTCTATTCTTCTCTGTTTTCCTCATTTTCATGTGAGCTTTTCCAATGTGCTTCTGTGTGTGTGACTCGATTCTCCTGAGCTGCATCTATTGATTAAAGGCTAAACGCTCAAGCTCTCGGATTTGAAACTTAAGCTTAGAGAGGATACAAACTTGTGCATTTATTTAATCTGTTCTTCATGATTTGGAATCGCATCATTTCATTAATGTACGAATAGTAGTAACTATATTTGTAAACCGTGCTAATTTCTTGTGAGTTGAGATCAGCTATCTCCATTTTACTGTTTCTTCTTCTTCTATTATTATTATTATTATTATTATAATTTTTTTTATTTTTTATTTTTTAAAGGTAAAAAGGACGAAATGGGGATGATATCTGTCTACTTGCTGCATATAAAAAGTTTTCTTTGTGGAGATATAATTTACGATGTCTGAGATATGATTGTGCATTGCTTTGATCACCTAGTTAGTTTTATGGGGTTTCCTTTTATAACTTTTTATATCAAATGTTGAGATCAAGGAGCCGATGGGGTTGCCAAGTAACTGACCATGGTCTGCATCAGTTGTCTACAGCAAAATATATTTGCGATCTGTCATCGGTATCTCTATGGGGTTCGACTGTAATCACAGACAAAGGAGTTGTTCAAATGGTATGTACACAAGTCGTCCATTGCATTTAAGGTCATTCAGTAACGCATACCAAACTAAAATCAAATTTTCTGCGCCACAATCAATGCACTTTGTTTTTCCTGTCAGTTCTTTTTTAATAATTAGGTAACTTTGCTTTCACAGATTTCAAGAGCTACTTCACTGCAACACCTAAATATTGGTGGCACATTTATCACGGATACGTCCCTGCTAGCAATTGCAAATAGTTGTCCTCGTCTCGAGGTAAATTCCTATGTTGAAATAATCCCAACTAGTAAGGTGGACTCGCAATTGGACAAGGTTAAAGAATAAAAAGTTAAAAATCGTGTCCATGTATCATGCACTGACATTATTAGATTCAATTTTGTTGCAGACTATTGTTTTATGGGGCTGTCATCACATAACGGATAATGGACTTGTCACGCTTGTAAAAAAATGCCGCAAACTCAAGTCGATCAATGTATGGGACTTGAGGGTGTCGCATGACTGCTTCAATGGTCTGCTTACAATCAATCCAGCTCTTCAAATACAACCAAAAGAAATGCTACTAAATGATGAGAGGGTTCCCACATGGCCTGTCTTTTAAGGAAGCACGCTTTTACAGTATTACAACATGTATACAGTACGATCTATGTTAGAACGTGCAATGTCGGTCTAATAGAGTAGAAGGTCAACCGGAAGGACAATATCTCCAAAGGTAAAGGCCAACCATCATTCCAGAAAAGATAGTTTCGACATCCTTTGCAACTCTCTAGTAGTAACGCTGTAACTATCATCGTCAAAATTTTGTACTCGCCCCATTATTCATTGATCGAGTGCTTATCGTGCTTGACCAAATGTTGATTTGAAAGCATATTTACAAGAAAAAGAACAGAAACAGATGAAATATATTCTTGAAGGTTAAATGGATCTATTGACCTCGTCTTTTTACATTACTATGTTGAGACACTTGAATTGTTAGCGGCAGAATTTAGTTTACTTAAAATTTATATTGCAAGTTGATACTAAAATGGTTGAAGCCATACCGGTTGTAGAGGTATGCAAGAAATGCCCGTCACATTATTTACGGGATAACCGGCACAAGAAGGATCAAATTCGATTAAGAACTATACAAACCCTGATGAATTAATTCCATAATCCAGAAACACAACCAACCAAATAATTATTTAAGGATTCGCGGCTGTTGGTCTGAATTGACTACCAGGGAAATAAACAATTAGATAAAATGAAAAAATTTAATCTATTTGGAGTTTGCATTGTATTCAGTAATTTAATGAGCCAAAGTAGTCTCTATTCAATGGGGTTTGAACTGTTATCTGAATCAAGATTTTTTATTTTAAAATGCATGTCATTAACCCTTATCAAGTCTCAGCTTAGTACAGAGTAAGGAATCAGAATCATATTTTAATGCAGGTTACCTTCTGTTCATATAGACGCATCATTTATTTTACTCATAAAACTCTTTAACTTCAGAACAAGCGTTATCAAGATATATGTCAATAAGTTGTTTGTTGCATTTCTACTTCTCTTTTCTGCAGCTTTGGTTAATTTATCATTGATAAATTTGATTGCTTTGTAACTTACTAGTTACACTTACGAGAAAGACATAGGACTAACCTGGCATGAAGTGACGGTACTACACCCACATAATGATTGGCCATTCATTCTATCCACAACGTCAAAAACACCTCCTCCATCACTTCTCTGCATAATTTAAAAGTAACATCATGCTCTATGACATACAGCCATTAGTTCTATTGAAAGCTACGTTTTAAAATTCCAATACCATGTAAAAGTTCACTGCTACAAAATTGGGGATCACATTTCCTGCTGATTTGTAACAGGTTCCAGCCATATCAGCAAGTGGAGAAGAATGCTCTTTGCAAGCCTCATTCTGAACTGGAATTGTTGGGAAGTAGTTCATCAGAAAGAGAGAGGAACTTCTTGAATTGAGTGGCTTTGATTCCTTTCTGTTTGAGCACGAACCAGGTACCACCCCGGGATCCCCAGCTGAAACAAATCATTCTATAAGATTTCAACTGCAAAAGGACATATCAATCAAATTGACAAGCCATCACACCATCACATAGCACTTACACTCATTTTCCACCATGTACCTCCATTGGTATGCAATTCCTTCACCAGACTCCTTTGAAGAATCAGAAGTGAAAACAAGCAATCTATGATTATTTTGTACCATATCATTAACAGTGGGCCAATTCTGGCCCTTTTTAGGCATCTTTTCCACTGGATACCAATACTTGTCCAACCCCGCGTCACTAAATACCCTTGTCAACCCTTTTGGGGAATGCACATAGTCCTCAATTATTATTGTTACAATCTCTGAAGGATTTTTAGTCATGAATGCTTCAACTTCTTTTAACGTATTAATTGCAGGTTCCTGAAACATTGTGAATCAAGAACTTTCTAATATCAACATCAAAAGAATTTCACTTTGGCCAATTATTTAATGGAAAATTGGGGTTTAGTATATTACAAAAGAAGTAAAATTGTAGCATTGGCCTCGAAATGAGTGGCAGAGCCAGATATCATTCTGGAAATCATACATATCCAGCATCAATCCCCTCACTCCATTCTACACAAAACCCATTACACAAATCAATTTAATGCACATGAACACATTTAGTTTCTCTATGCATACTAAGCATGTAGAATATAAAACATATAAAAATTAAGAAATGGCGTACTGTCAATTGGTTGGTAACACTATCTTCTTGATTGTAGAATGTGATTCGCTGAGAACCAGTCAATAAAGGTGCATCCACAATGGAGAAGGCGTTATGGGTCATCAGCCATGTGTACTTGTTAAAGGGCAACCCACTTACCTATTACATTATTAGACATAATATAATCAAGTTATATACTTCGTTTCGAAATTTCCAGAATATAAAACCTTTCATCTGTAAAACATAGTTGACATCTAATATATATAAGAATTTATTAAAAAGACTGGACTATAGACTACTGAAATTCAAACTAGATATTTAAAAGTTCAATAAAAAGACAATTTAGAATCAAGAAAATCCTAGTAGAATTCTTGAAAAACAACAAAAGATATAGACTAGATAGAAGAGAATATTACTATGGAAGTGGGTATAGTGGCTTGGCCTCTGGTGCAGAAAGGCTGAGTCTTTCCAAGTGAAGGGCAGTTTCCACAATAAAGACCAGACCCACAATCAGCAGCAGTGGAACACGAATCAAGAAGCTGCAAAAATAGTCAAAATTCAGCTCAAATTCAGATCAAGACGTTCATAATGCACGGATCTATGAGCAGTCACACGCAAAGGAGAAAAGGAATTAGCAAATAAACCTGGGTATTGGCAGTGGGGATGAAGAAAAGAGGAATAGAGATTAAAAACAGTAAGATGAAGATACGGTGGCCATCTGCACCTCTGTTGCAAAGCTTCATACTGTGCTCCACTGCTCCTCCACAAAACACGCCAACATGGGAGGTGCACCGCGGGTGCAGAGTGGGAGGAATGAATACAGACTAATATTAAAGTAGTCTTGGTCTTGATTTATAAAAATCAGAAAGCAAAAGTTGAATTATATCACAGAGAGAGAGAGAGAGAGAGAGAGAGCGCTGTTGCTAACTTTCTGTTAGCCTCAAATTAATTTCATTAGACAATCTTAAACTTTTCTTACTTTACATGATAATCCTGTAATTTTTTTAATCCTATCTACTTAAACATGTCTACAAGTTATTAGCCCTCCTTTGGCTCCATTTTTTTTTTCCAATTTCAACGTTTGAAATAGTATTTTTTTGAAGAATGTATGATAGAAAAAGATTGAAAAGTTTTCGATTTACATAAAATATTATTTTATGAAAAATTGTATGGTTAAAAATAAAAGAGAAAAAAATGAAAGAGAATAGGGGCCAGACGAATACAAAGTTATATCGTATATGGAGTATTTCAGTCAATAATGTAATTCTTGTTTGGAACATAACAATTGATAATTTTTAAATGAGATATTCCCCCTTGTACACAAAGTATTGATCTTTTTATCTAATCCCGATGTGATAGGTCCTTATTTGATTTTGATAAACTCAAACTTTTACTAAATATTAAAAAATGTCGATGAAATATGTAAGTTGAGGGTTCCAATAAAATATATGACGACCGTGATTTTTTTTACCCATCCAACCAATTAATTAGTTTCTTGTAAAACTTGTTGAGTTGCTGTACATGGTTTTGACAATTTATTTAAACATTTGTACCTTTAGGTTAATTCTGACATGCTTTTTTAGTCCAAAAGTAGTTGGGCAATGGCACCTATATTTGCATTAATAAAGATGGGGATAAGTTTGAAAAGTTGAACTAACTGGCCTCTTTGAGTTCTCTTCACGTGGCATTGCATTTTCAACTTCCAACTCCTATTGTCTAATTTTAGTGGGTGTTTGAGCTGTATTTTTATAGAAAAAATGAATTTTAGAGTTGTAAATTAATGGAGAATGTGTGAATAAAAAAGAACGAAATTTTTTTGATTTATGTATAATATTATTTTAATAAAAATATGTGATTAAAAAAAATATATTTCAATAAAAATGAGAATCAAACGATGCCTAAAAAGCAGAAAATATTGTCTAATACTCAAACGTAGCCAAAATGTTGGGATGCCGCGTACAACCTCGGTGATTTCAACCGTATTCCACGGAAGCAGAGCCAATTATAAGATAACAGTTGGTGACATGGCAATAATTGCTGCTGCCCCAAGTCAAAGTTGCATTTATCTTAATTGAAATTTAATTATTTAGTATTAGTGACAGATAGTGATAGATGTAACATTTACTTGAGAGTTTTAATTCGAGAGAAAGAATCTACTACATTTTGTACCTTTACCACTTTGGTGAATACACGAAACACATACATTGTTAAAAGCAATGATTATGTTTTTATCTCGAAAAGAATGAAAAAAATAGAATCTCGAGGAAACGAATGTTCAATTAAGTGTGCGGCGTGCCTCTGAGCACGATAACTTGAAGGAGCACTATCTTCTCTTTTAGCACCTCTTTTATCGCGTTTACCACACTGTTCTAAAGTACAGATAAAGGTGAACTGAGAATTAGAAGAAAAAATAAGTCATGTATAAACCATAGTATATTTTGAATTTACATTCGAAAAAACGCCCCAGCAAAACATGAATCCAACGAGTATGACTATAAAATTCCGTCATTTGCTCCACTGGTGAACCTAGAACAATAATTCCACGGGCAATTAAATAGGAAAATAAATGAGAATATAAACTGATGCCAGATGCCTAGAAACGCAGCTATCAAGTTGGTTCAATAAATTATGTTGCATGTACGGGTCCTATTTCAAGCCACACACATTATAGGGGGTGGGGTAATATATATATATATATATATATATATTTTAAATAATCACCCACCCCCACTCCCTTACTCAGCATGTGAGTGGGCCTGTACAGGCCCTGTGAACATCAGGCATTTTTGTTGATACAATATGGTTGCTAAGTAACGGAGTGCTCAAGCCATGTGCAATATCCAAACAAGCAAGAATCAACAAAATATTCAAATGGTTGAGTTTTTATGTCTAGTGATGCTACCAAAAATCATACCTGCAGATTTTTCGAGCTTAATGATTTGGATTGAGCACGATAGTAGTCTTCCAGTACCTGAAACAAAGGCAACGAGGTATGTTCTCGTCGCCCCTCCGATGCTTAAGTCAGAAAGAGAATTATATGCGTGAGGCTATAGACTGGAGAATAATGAAAAACGTACATGAATAATGGCTCAAGGTTCTATATTTATAGTAGTAAGTGACATTCTCCTAGTGGGACTCAACTATCTAGGTGTCCTTATCTGTTGGAGTCCTGTGTAGTTAAGGAGTTGGTCAAATTCCATAATTATATGTGGGATAGAATCCTTGTGGGAGTCAAGTATATGGTTGAGTTAGAGTCCTAATTGCATAGGAGTTCTAAAAGGTCAACAATTGTAAGTTGTGAGGGGAAGGTATGCTCGAGGACTACTAATGCTCGAGCATAAGAATCGCAATATGTAAAGCAGCAAGACAGTAAGTGCTCGAGAATAACCCTCGGGTTGAGCATATGCTCGAGCACTCCATATGTGGAATTTGCGGGTTTATCCAAGATTTGTGGTCGGGATGAAATGATCGGGCATTCATGTATATCATAAAAGGATAGCGTAATCCTCGGGTTAATATGGTGGTCAGGTTATCCGAAATATCAGTATCATTGGCCCCCGTGCACATATGCTCGAAGCCTTCGCTCGAGGACATGATGCAAAGAGGCTTGAAACAAAAAGCTCGAGTGTTTTAGCTCGAGGACGTTTTTGAAGACAGGTGTTCAGAAGGGCTGGCGTGTACTGAGGTAAGCCCTAAATAAGAAAAGGCGGTAAAAATGGTAGGGGATGGATGTAGGACACGTGGCCAGATCTGACGGTTGGGGTAGTGACTTTTGGACTACCCGCTCCTGTTGCCTATAAATACCCTCTCCACATTTCATTTTTCACTTTTTACTCTCAGTAAACTTCTCTTGCTAATCGTCGGGATCAGAACTTTTGAGTTTTTAGGTGTCGACTTTAAGGTAAGACCTCGAGTTCTTAAGTTATTCTTTAGGTACTTTTTTTACCTAGGTCAGGATGTCTAGTAGTAGTAGTAGTGGGTCTTCGTCCTCATCCTCAAGGAGTACTCCCGAGGACATAGGATGCTCGATCATACCTATGGTCGTGCCTATTAATGCCCAACCTCAGGCACAAAGTATCTTGACCCCATTTAGGTACTCCGAGGTTCCTTGTAAGTTTAAAGAGCATCTAGTAATATCGATGGCTAGGGAGCACGGGCTCATGCCGAAGTGTGATATTAGGACGCCAGGGGGAGAGGATAGGATGGCCTTTGCTCGGGATGGAGAGTTTGTAATTTTTAGGGACTCACTAAAGGGTGGATTTAGATGGCCTCTGCACCCCTTTTTTGTGGCTTTATTGGTCGAGCACAACACGAGCCCTAGACAGCTCATGCCAAATGGGTGGAGGATGCTCACTTATTTTTTATAGCCTGTAGATACCTAAGAATTAACTCATACATCGATCTTTGTAGAATGGTCTTCGACTTGAAACAGCTACCTCAATATACTTGTTTCACCTACCTTTCCTCCCGAGGAGGTTTTAGATTACCGAGGATGCCCAGTTCATTGAAAGGATGGAAAGAAGAGTGGTTTTATGTCGTACCTCAGGATAGTGACCTTCCTTTTAGTCCTAGGTGGGTTTTGCCCGACACTACTAGGTTTTGTGAAGGCCAGGCCTATTTTGAGTCTTTATAAAGGCATGGGGTGATGTTAGAGAACCTTGAGCCTTTTGTTTATGATATAGATGACATCCTCGGGGATGACGTTCTTGATCTTGCGGATGTGAAAGGCACTGAGGGTAGGGATCATCTTTTTGCCTTCTTTCTTGTTGATCTGTCTTTGAATGTATAATTGTGCTCATGTCAATGACTTGTTTTTGCAGAGATGACTTTCGATCCTTCAGCCCTCAAACAGGCCGTGAACAAAAAGTCAAAGGCCCTTCAAGCTCAAGCTCTAGGTCAAAAGAGCGGGAAGAAAAGAGCTCGTGATTCAGGCCCGGAGAATATTAGGAGTGGGCCAGGTGAACCTTCTGCCCGGGGACAATCCCCGACCATACAGGCTCATGAAACTCCAACTGCCCCTCCTCGGTCACGTCCTTGGTCAAGGAATATATCCCCGAGGTTGTTGACCTTGACGATGAGGTCCCTCCAATGCCTTCATTCCAAAATCAAGATCCTGATTGATGTCCCCTGGTGTCGAGCATCGTGGACAAATATCGAAAGGTCCTCGGCTTTGACGAGGGCATGAAAGCTCTTGAATCCCTTACGCTGAAGGTAAGCTTGCTCGACTTACTTGGTGTAATTTATTGGTTTATATGATGTGATCGTTTAAGCTTGGGTTTATATAATGCAGACTTTAAGTATTGCCCAAGGCCTATCTATGAAGGGGAAAGACGAGGCACAGAAAACTGTTGAGCTCGAGGATACTTCTTGAGCTCATGAGAAGAGGATAGCTGACATGGAAGTTGAGTGCTTCCTTCTCCAGAGGGAGCTCGATGACGGGAAGAAAGACCTTCAGAGAGCTCGGGAAGAGGCTGGAGCGGCCAAGGGCGAGGCCGAGGATTTAAAGCTCGAGATCGAGCGTTTGAAGAGGGATTTTGAAACTCGTCTGACTGAAGCTCAAGGCATTGCGATCGAAGATTTTAAAACGTCCGAGGAGTTCAGCGGGCTGAAGGGAGAGTAGGCCATGGGCTTGTACTTCCACGCTTTGGAAGAGGCTTGGGCATTTTTGAGGTCGAAGCCTGACGCAAAGCCCGAGGATTTAAAGAGCATCCCTGAGGTTGCTGAAGACCTCGAGCTTTCAGAGTCCGAGGAAACCGTCGAGGACCAGGAGGTTGATATTGACGGTGAGGACTTGGCGGAAGAGCAAAGCAATACGGCCTCGGGAGAAAGAGTCGAGGACCTAGATTAGTTTATGTTTTTCTTCTGTTTTTGGATACTAAACTCTTGTACTTGATTAATCAGTTTTTGAAACAATGTGTTCTTCCCGAGCTTGACTTGCGTTTCTTGCTATGTTTATGTTTGCTCGAGCTTTAAGTTCATTTGAGAACTATACTAAGTGATGTGACCTAGCCCGACTTTAAGAGAATACATAGCTCAACGCCTAGACTAATTATATAACTCGACACCTAAGATGTACTAAACAGCTCGACACCTAAGATGTATTAATATTACGATGCCTAGACAAATTAAATAACTCGACGCCTAAGATGTATTAAATAGCTCGACGCCTAAGATATATTAATATCTTGATGCCTGAGTGAAGTTCTTGCCTTGACGTACTTATTCACCGACAACAAAGATTTATTTTTGTCATGCTCGATAAATAATACTCTTGAGGACTAAATTTTATAAAATCATTTTTGAAATTATGTGTTGAGGTCGAGCATTTAGACAAATTGCCTCGAGGACTTAATTGGTTTCATTTTTGAACACTATGCGTTGAGCTCGAGCATGTACACAAGTATCCCGAGGACTCAATTTGTAAAATCATTTTTGAACATTATGCGTTGAGCTCAAGCACGTATACAAGTGATCTTGAGAACTCAATTTGTAAAATCATTTTTTGCCATTATGAGTCGAGCATATTATGCATGTTTATCTCAAGGACTCCATGACAACGTGATTGTATCGACCTAGCGTGATTCCCGAGGACAGTAATGGCTTTTTTATAAGATCTCTCACACCATTGATCGGGCACTGTGTGATCGGGAATGTTACTTGAAGTGCTTGCTTAGGGCAAGACTTTTTGATTGCTTGCGTGGGGTAAGGCTTTTTGATTGCTTGTGCGGGGCAAGACTTGTGTTTCTTTCCTGGGACAAGGCTTTTTGATTGCTTGCGCGGGGCAACGCTTTTTGATTGCTTGCGCGGGCAAGGCTTTTAGCTAGATCATATTTTGACGAATAGTTTAATTCTTATTATACTTTAAAAATAGACTTGGCACGTAGGCCTGATGACTAAAAACGTGAACCTTGGCACGCAGGCCTGACTACCGAAAAATAAAACTTGGCACACAGGCCTGAGAATTGAAAATGTGAGCCTTGACGCACAGGCCTGACTACTGATAACTGGAAGACCAAGTTACTTGTAATATGTCTTTAAATTCTCAACGTTCCATGGTTTTGGAAGTGGTCTTCCTGATGTATCCTTTAAACTGTATGCGCCTTTTTGGAGTTGTCGTATGACTTCAAAGGGCCCTTCCCAAACTGGTCCTAGCTTGCTCGGGGCATGACCTGCTGCTTCGGCCCTTCTTAACACAAGGTCTTCGGCTCTGAATCTCCGCGCCCTCACTTTTTTATTGAAGTGCTTTGCTGTTTTATCTTGGTAGGAGGTCATTCTTAAAGTTGCCTGATCACGAACTTCTTCCAAGAGGTCGAGGTGTTCAGTGGTGCGCCATGCATCTTCGGCTCGAGCCTCCTTTGGCTGGGCAACCTAACTTCAACAGGGATAGTGGCCTCAATACCAAAAGCCAACATGAAAGGGGTTTCCCCCATAGCAGTTCTGTGGGATGTTCTATACGTCCAAAGTATGGAAGGTAACTCGTCAGACCAGGAACCTCTTGCATCCCCGATCCTTGTACGGAGGTCTTGCAATATAATCCGATTGGTCACTTCGGCGAGACCATTACTTTGAGGATGGGAAACCGATGTCAAACGGTGATCAACCCCTAGGTTGGAACAAAAGCTTTTAAATTGCGCATTGTCGAATTGCCTGCCATTATCAGTTATGAGGACTTTCGGTATTCCGAACTTGCATATGATAGATCTCCAAATGAAACTTCTTAACTTCGGCTCTGAAATTGTTGCTAAAGGCTCGGCCTCCACCCACTTAGTGAAATACTCTACAGCCACAGCCACAAACTTCAATTGTCCCCTACTTATCGGAAAGGGATCGAGGATGTCAATTCCCCACTTCTCAAATGGGGCTGTGCAACTAATGTTAGTGAGGTCCTCTGCGGGAGGGTGGATGACATTGCCAAATCTTTAGCACTTGTCACACTTTTTGACATATTCCTGGGCGTCTTTTTTCATGGTTGGCCAATAATATCCATACCTTATAAGCTTGAAGGCTAATGCCCGAGCTCCTTGATGGTTCCCACATACTCTTTCATGAACTTCTTCTAGGGCCTGAGATAATTCGGAAGGCCTAAGGCATCTGAGGTATGAAAGTGTGAGGCTTCTACGAAATAAAACTCCTTCAATCATGCAATACCTCGGAGCTTTGGACCGGATGCTTCTCGCTACTCGAGAATCTTCTGGAAGACTGCCATGTTTTATGAAGTCCACTTTGGGTTCATCCACGACGGCTCATTATCAATATCCATGACGCATGTGGTCTGATTGATGCTTGGCTCGATTACAATTTTGATGTGAACTGTCCTGTCAAGCCCATCTATTCCCATGAACACCAATCTTGACAAGGCATCGGCCTTACAATTCTCAGCCCGAGAAATTTTCACAATTTCACAACTCTTGAACTTTCTCTGGAGATCATGCACTTTCAAGCAGTATAAGCTCATCTTCTCGTCCTTCCTATCGAACGTCCCTTCGATTTGTCCAACCACCAACTGGGAATCACTATAAATTTTGATGTTTTCAAGCTCGATATTTATGGCGAGTTCCATGGCTATGATGACGGCCTCATACTATGCCTCATTATTGGTCGCCTCAAATTCAAACCTGAGTGCGCACTGAATGTTTATGAGCATGTCCGGGCTTATGATTATGACTCCTGCGCCCGAACCCGAGGAGTTTGATGCTCCATCTATGAAAATTTGCCACACACATATGCTCGAGCTAGAGCTACAATCTTGTCCCCGAGGCCTTGGGGTGAGTTCTGCAATGAAGTCAGCTAAGGCCTGAGCTTTGATTGATTGACGGAGCTTGAACTCTATGTCAAATTCTCCGAGTTCAATTGCCCACCTCAGTAATCTTCCTGAGACGTCTGGTTTTTGAAGAATGTGTTTTAGAGGTTGATTGGTGAGCACTACAATAGGATGCGACTGAAAATATTATCAAAGTTTTCGTGCTACCACTATCAGTGCAAGGGCAAGCTGTTCTGCCAAAGTGTATCTTGTTTCTGCATCAAGTAGAACTTTACTTACGTATAAATAGGTTGCTGGGCCCTGTTAACCTCTTTCACCAAGACACTACTCACTGCATTCTGAGATACGGCTAAGTATAAATACAGAGTATCCCCGGACTCGGGTTTGGTGAGGATAGGAGGAGATTCCAATGTCTGCTTGAGCTCCTGAAAAGCCTTCTTGCACTCCTTCTTCCATTCAAAGCAATGATTCCCCCTGAGGGCTTTGAAGAAGGGGAAGCACCTGTCTGCTGCCTGGGATATGAACCTGTTTAAGGTAGCTACCCTGCCTGTCAACTTTTGAATCTCTTTCTTGGTCCCTGATGATTCCATTGCTGCCAGAGCCTGAATCTTGTCGGGGTTGGCCTCAATCCCCCGATGAGTGATCATAAAACCCAGAAACTTTCCTGAAGCTACGTCGAATACACGCTTCTTCGGGTTGAGCTTCATCTTATATTTTCGTAGGGTGACGAACACCTCCTCTAGGTCAGATATGTGTTCATCCACCCTCTTACTTTTTACAACCGTATCATCCACATAGGCCTCGATGTTTTTCCCTATCAGATCGGCGAAGACTTTGTTGATGAGCCTCTAATATGTCGCCCCAGCATTTTTCAATCCAAATGGCATCACCCTATAGCAATATATGGCCGAATCAGCCATGAATGAAGTCTTCTCTTGGTCTTCTTTGGCCATGAGGATTTGATGACACCCTGAGAATGCATCTAAGAAGCTGTACAACTTATGTTCGGATGTGCTATCCACAAGATTATCAATCCTTGGTAATGGGTAGCTGTCCTTTGGGCACGCCTTATTAAGATATGTGAAGTCAATGCAGACCCTCCATTTACCACTGGCCTTTTTTACTAGAACAACATTAGCGAGCCAATCGGGGTATTGGACTTCCCTTATGAACCCCGCTCCCAACAATTTTTCGACTTCTTCCTGAATGACCACACGTCTTTCCGGCGCAAACCGTCTCTTCCTTTGCTTAACAGGTTTGGCCCCTGGGCTGATATTGAGTTTATGGATAGCTACTTCTGGGTCTATCCCTGGCATATCCTCCACCTTCCATGCAAAAACATCAATGTTGCGGGACAGACAATTGATGACTTACTCCCGGAGGTTGGCCTTGAGATCCCGACTAATAGTGAAGGCTTTTCCGTGCTCGAGCTCGACCACTTCCAATTCCTCAACGAGGGCCAATCTACCCCTTGGCTCGAGCTCGAGGTCTGCGAGTTGCATGATGTCAGCACTCATTCCTCGGATGCTAGTAACATAGCACTGTCTAGCCGCTGTTTGGTCTCCTCGAACTACTCCGATGCCATGACCTGTGGAGAACTTCATGGTGAGGTGGAAAGTTGACACAATAGCCTGGATCTTGTTCAGTAGGGGTCTTCCCAGAATAATGTTGTAGGCCATTGGGGTATTAACCACTTGGAATGGAGTGATCTCCGTCACTTGTGTACTACCAGTTCCTAATGTAAGCGGGAGCTCGACGATACCTTCAGGGATAATGACTCCACCACCAAATCCTTGTCGGGGAGTTTTTACTACTTTGAGCTATTTGGGAGAGATTCCCAATTTGGCGAAAGCCTCCTGTGACAGTATGTTCCCTGCACTCCCATTATCAACCAGAAGCATCCTTACTTCAAAGTTAGCCACAACCACAGAGACGACCAAGGCATCGTCATGAGGATATGATATTCCTTCCAAATCTCTTGCTCCGAAAGTGATGTATTTGACTTCATCACGGGATTCTCTTAGGGTATGAGCATGTTGGTGGGCATACTGCTTTCGCCCACTACTTGTGTCTCCGCCGGATGCTATGTTCCCAATGATAATATTAATGGTTCCGGCAGTTGGTTGAGCATTGCTTCCGACCCCAGGCTCTTTTCGATTGTCACATTCATTCCTTGGTCGTTTATCATGACCAATGTAATTCTTTAAAAATCCTCTTTTGATAAGGGCTTCAATTTTTCGCTGTAAAGCATGACAATCCTTTGTAGTATGTCCATGATTTCGATGAAATTCGCAATACTTGCTCCTATCTCTTGTGTCAGGGGGCGACTTCATCCTTGAAGGCCACTTTAATTCTTTCATATCCTTAACCTCCATCAAAATGTTTGTCTTAGAGGTGTTCAACCAAGTGAGAGGTGCTGATGGCGCCTCGTTCCTGCGCTTATCCCAGGGGACGAGATCATGTTGCCTCTTGTTCTCGGTCTTTTCATGGGAAGGACCAGGTCTCCTTGAATTTAGTGTTTCCTCCATATTAATATATTTTTCAGCTCGGGTGACGAGCTCAGTCACTGTCTACGGCGGGGTCTTTGATAAAGACATCTTGAAGGCTTCACATCTTACGGCATAAGTGAGGGCGGAGACAGCTGCTGTGATGTGAAGGTCGGGTATTTGAAACATTTCCTTGTTAAATCTTGTCATAAATCCTCGTAGGGTTTCAGTTGGTCCTTGGCAAAGTTGCATGAGAGAGGCCGCGGTCTTCCTGATTCGCTTGCTACTTGCAAAGAAGGCTGAGAACTTATCAGCCAAATCTGAGAATGAGGCTATGGAGTTGGGCTCCAATGTCGAGAACCAATCCCTAGCAGCATTAGTCAGCGTTTGTGGAAAGGCTTTGCGTATAACCTGATCTGGCCCAACTTGCAAGTTCATGACATCAGTGTATACATTGAGATGGTTGATGGGGTCGATCGCCCCATCATACTCTTTAATGCGAGGATATTTGAATCTATCGAGCAAGGGATATGACAATATCTCTGGCGTGAATGGAGTGAAACCTGTTGGCCCCCGAGCATTCCATTGCAGGCCAGCTGTAATTTCTTCTTGAATAATCCGGGCAATTTCACCGGAATCCATGGCGACCGATCTCGAGCCCGAGGCCATATTGTGAATACCCGAGGTTTCTACTTCGCCATTTGCGGGTTTTGGTGGTCGTACCCGAGCATCGACCATAAAACCGCCATGCTCTGCCTGCGCTAGAGACGGATGTGAATTTCTTTGATTTAATAGTTGCGTGAGTGTGGCCACCTGCTGACAGAGCTCTTTAAAGGCTTCGATTGTGATGACCGCTGGCAGAGGTGCGGGCACTCCTAAGGATTCTTCATGAGGAGCCGGTTGATTTTCGGTAGGATAAGGTATGGGCGCGGATGAGCTTGCGGGAGGAAGACTTGATCGCGTATTAACCATGGCTTTTGGTAGCGTTTTCCACAGACGCCGCCAATGATGCTACCAAAAATCGTATCTGCAGATTTCCTGAGCTTGATGATTTGAATTGAGCACAATTGTAGTATTCCGGTACCTGAAACAAAGGCAACGAGGTATGTTTTCGTCGCCCCTCCAATGCTTAAGTCAGAAAGGAAATTATATGCGTGAGGCTATAGACTGAAGAACAATGAAAAACGTACCTAAATAATGGCTCAAGGTTCTGTATTTATAGTAGTAAGCGACATTCTCCTAGTGGGACTCAACTATCTAGGTGTTCTTATCTGTTGGAGTCCTGTAAAATTAAGGAGTTGGTCAAATTCCATAATTATATGTAAGATAGAATCCTTGCGGGAGTCAAGTATATGGTTGAGTTAGAGTCCTAATTGCATAGGAGTTCTAAAAGGTCAACAATCGTAGGTTGTGAGGGGTGGGTATGTGATAAGTGTGTTTTTACACACTTATTTGGATCATAAACATTACTTAAACATGGAAAAAACGGTTGAATTGTAACTTAATCCAGTTAAATTTATGCATTGTAGGTAATTCAATGGAAATTGTGGAATTCAGGAGAAAAGAGCCGAAGAAGGACCAAAACGCAACAATTTGATAGTTCGAGGACCAAAGGTGCAAATATTGAAAAGTTGAGCTAAATGCAAAACGAGAGGGAAGACATGCCAAGTATGAGTTCAATGACAAAGCAAAATGAATGAAGAGGGACTGAAATGAAGACAATTGAAAGTTGGAGGACTAAAGCGCAAATACTCAAAAGATATGCCGAATGAGGGGCATAAGAATTGATGGTATCAATCATCAATTGGAAGATAAAATTTGTTGAAAAGATGAAAAAATCGAAGAAAGAAGTCAAGAGAAGCAACAAAGAAGTTCAGGGACCAAATTGAACAAACCACATAGATGGTTACCTCTATGCGACCGCATAGTGTAACCTTCTATGCGGTCGCATAGAGGGCTCCAGGGATTCAATGAACCCAAATTTTTTGATCTATGCGACCGCATAGATTCCTTCTATGCGGTCGCATAGAGTTATTTTCAACTCTCGGACGCAGTTTTTCGTTTTGGTTGAAACTCTTTTCCTACCTAATTTGGACGCGATATAAATACCAAAATTCATCATATGAAGGAGGAGAACGACGAGGGAGAAGGAAGAAACCAAAATTGGAGGCAAGAAACTTGATTTTGGATTCAATTTCACACGGGCTCGAGACGGGATTGAAGATTATACAACGGATTGAAGAAATTCCATACGGCTGTATTCTTATTATCTTTTAATTTCGTTTTTCAATTTCTTGATTT